CGGGATACCTGGGCATGGCTCCGTAGGAGGCATTAGGACAAGGGAGTGGGCCACCCAGACAAACTAGCGAAGCCTCAGGAGCAAACTGCTTAACCTGTTGGTGAGACGCAAAGGCTATAACAGGGGAGAGCATGTTACTTTTAAGAATAGTCATAATTATTATGTTGCCATTGCTGTCACTGACACTGAGTTGTTGTTTTTGAGACAGGGTCTGGCTCTTTAGCCCAGGCTGGAGTGCAGTGGTGCAAGCTTGGCTCACTGCAATCTCTGCCTCCTGGGTTCAAGCAAGTCTCCTCAGCCTCCTGAGTAGTTGGGATTACAGATGCTTGCCATCATGCCTGGATAATTTTTGTATTTTTGTAGAGATGGGTTTTGCCATGTTGGCCAGGCTGTCATGAACTCCTGACCTCAGGTGATCCACCTGCCTCGGCCTCCCAAAGTGCTGGGATTACAGGCATCAGCCACCATACCCGGACTTTTCTTAACTTCTATTTGTCCTGAGCCACTGAGAATCTGTTGACAGCAGTGAGCCCTCATCATAGACATATGCATCCATGCACAAAAGCTGCATTCCACTCCAGGGGCTCATGGACTCCGGCAGTGCACGCAGGACCCCACAAGGTTAAGTTCTCTGTGCTAGAGGCCCTCTGAGGGCTGGGCAGCTGGGAATTGCTCTGGTTCTTCTCGGAGTTGTCTGAACTTCCCCCTGCCTGGATGCCTCCCTCCCACGAAACTCCTTCCCTTGCTCTAGGCCCTGCTAATGCCTCTGCAAGAGGTTCCAGGGCTGCCACTTTGGTTAGAATGATTTCCCTGTCCCTCTACTCTGAGATGGTGAAGTGAGTGAACCAGAGCCTAAACTGTGATGCACTTGTCCAGGAAAGGCCTCTTCTTGCAGTGGAGGAATGGCACCAATGTCCCCAGCTTCTGCAGCATTGGAGGGCTCAGTCCCCCATCTCCTGTCCAGCCTGCTGGGCCCCCTGGGATCTCCCCACCTCTTTCAGTCTGCCTCAGCCCCTCTGTAAGCTGCTTAGGGGTTAATTAAACCCACCCCTGAGCCTGTGCTTAATGGCCTCTCCATCCGGGGCTGCCCAGTAAACCCATTAATAGTGCCTGGCTGGGTTGTAGAGGGAGGAGCAGGCCCAGCAATTTGGCTTCCTTGTTGCAGGCCACTCGATGGGAGTATAGGGGTTGGGGGTGGAGGATGGGGACAGGGAGTGGAGCCTTGGGGTGTGGAGGTGGGGTCTGTTTCCTCAAAGGACTCCTGGGGCTCCTGCTCCCCTTCATGTTGTTCTGCTTCTGGCTTCTCATAATCAAAGGAAGAAGTACGTGTTTCTCTTCCTTTGGGCAGCCTATGTCCTATGCTGAGCTATATTAGCTCCCAGCCTCAAAAATCTAATGGTGGGTTGTGCCCCTTCTTATCTGGTAGTCATTATACTTCTCACAGGACAGAAAGACAGCTGTGTTCTTGTCTCTGAGTTCAGGCTTCCCTTCCCTCCTCCTTCGCTGGGAGTCCCCTGCCTTGGACTCTGCAAAGGGCAAGGTCTTTTTTCTGCCGTTCCCCATGGGTCGGTATGGCTGTTTGAAGGGCAGGAAAGGGTATGGGTGTATTCCTCTTGCAGGGAGACCCCATACCTACTTTGGGTAAAGTCAGGGACCCTTTTCCTGAGGGTTGGGAGATGAATGGGCAATGGCACTGGGCTGAGAGCTTGGAGATCCTGTCCCAGGCATCTCCTGACCTGCAGCCTTGCTCCCTCTTCCCCTGTCATCAGACTTCCTCCCTTCTTTGGATCAAGGTTGGGATATAGGGCTGCTTTCAGATGGAGCTGTCCCTTTAAATCTCTCCTCCATCCCTGGCTTACTGTCCTGGTGTTATAATCCTGCTGCCATGGCAACCAGGGGTGCAATGCAACCTGGTGCCACTCCTCAGGGTATGGCTGAGTGGAGGCTGCAGTACCCTGGTGGTGGTCTCATGGGCACAAGATCTCAGAGGAATGGGGGCACCTGGCTGGAGCTGAGTGCCTCCCTTCTGCCAACACATTTTCCTGTGTGCAAATGTGCCCTCACATTTCCTTTCTGGGGAACTGAGTTCCAAGATGCCTGACTTGCTTCCTGGGCATCACCCCCTTTGTCAAGGGGAAGAGCTCATGGGAGATGGGGGAGGGGGAAAAGCTGCTGTGAGGTGAGGGGTCAGTAGGGCTGGGGCACCGCCCCTACCCACAGCGATGCCACCTCCCCCACGTACCCTGCCTTCCAGTGGCTGACCTTGGGCGGGTGCGGGGAGGCATTTGGGCTTGAGGTATTTGCCCCACACACCAGTGAGGCTGCCTCCGGTGGAAGGCTGAGTCCTTCTTGGGGACTTCTTCGACTGAGTGATCACTGTCAACGAAACAGGGCCTGGAGAGGGGACAGAGCAGAGGGCAGAAGACATGGGGAGGAGGCAGCATGCCCTCTATACTCCAGGGTGTATTAGAGAAGAGACTTCTAGAAAAGAGGGGGCAGGAACAAGATAGGTCAAGACTTTTCTCCCTCAGGTTTCTGAAGCTGGCTGTGAGGGGAGGGTCTCAGGATGCCTCGCCAGTCTTGAAGGGGCAGCATGCTATGCCTACGCCCTCCCCAAAACCTCCTGTTAGCCGCCTCCTCCCCATCGTCACCGACACTGACATGCTGGGGATCGGGCCATCTGTGGGACTAGGGCTCCCTCCCACCACCCTTCTCCCACCCGGGTTACCGCCTGCTCTGCACCCTGCTGCGCTAGTCGGGGCTTCAGCCAATCAGCAAGGTGGTCACAGCTGCTGAGCCTTGTCATTGGCTGGTTCCTCAGAGGGCTCTCTCCCGAGTCCCGCCTTCTCCAGCGCGGCCAGCCTCTGGCTAGGGAGGCAGCAGAAGGCGGCGTGGAGGCTACTTCGGGAGTCCCCGGGGCTGGGGCCGCCATGGCAGGCAGCCCAGGCAGCGGGGCCTCCTTGGAGGGTATATCCCTGGGCTCTTCTGAGGAAGCAGAGCTCCAGAGGGAAGGTAGGGAAGGGAAAGCCGGATGGAGGCGGGGCAGCTGGCCCCTTAGCCTACCCTCCTCCAGCAGAGTTGGGCATCTGGGGAGGGTGGCCTGGGAGCGGTCATCTGAGGGCACCTTCTGGAGAGCTGTCCTGGGCAGAGGGCACCGACTTCCTTTGCTCAGTCCTCCCCTGGATGATTGACGGAGGGAATCCGGCATACCCTGGCAGGGAGGGAAGGGTCCCTACCCTGGCCTCTTTCAGAGCCCACTGAGGGCCTCGCAGGCCTCTGACCCATGCCAAGCCCTGGCCTGGGCAAGAGGGGTGGGTCTGGAGGGCAAGCTTGGACTTTTTTTCTGGAGAAGGCAGGAAACAGTAGGAAGAAGGAGATGGGAGTCCAGAAGTCCCTGAACCATCTCTGCCACCTCCAGCTCCAGTGCCCCCTCCTCCCCACTCCTGTTCTTCCTGGAGGAGGGGAACACTGACAAGAGCGTTGAGAGGTGGCAGGGGGTGCATCTTCCCCCATCCTCCATGGCTTGGGTGCTGTTATGCAGATGTAGGCATGGGCGGCAGGGTGGCAGAGTAATGATACCCCTTGCCCATCTCTGCCCCCAGCTGGGCACATTCTGCTTCTCGCTTCCTTTCCCCAGAACTTGCCACATCCTGGAACTCCCACCTCTGCCAGTGAGTGAAGGCAGTCCCCACCTCAGATCTTGGGGGCCGTTGTTGTGGCCCAGCTACAGGTGTTACCATGTCCTTGGTTCTGTCCCATTCTGGGCTGAGAGTTTGCTTATCCCAGTGATGGCTTGATGTGACTTCGGCCTTTGGGTGCCCACAGCCATTCCAGGCCCCCAGTGCCTGTTTCCCTAGCTCCTGCCCGTGTTCCAGGCCTCAGCTTTGGCTTCCTATCATCATGCTAATTTCTCAGTGATTATGGATCATTGTCACTCAGAGCTGAAGGGCCTGTAGGCATCATCTAGCCCAACCCATCCATTTTACAGGTGGGAAAGACTGAGGCCAGTGAGGGACAAGGACTTGGGTGGTGTCATAGGGAACTGGTGGTGCTTACACTGGATGCTGTGCAGGCCCGGCCTCCTGTGAGGCTACCTGCTTGACTCTGAGCCTGTACTCAGGGACTTGCTCCAAGTACTGTCTGTCTCATCCTTGAGCCTGCCAGGTGCAGGTGGCTGAGTCCTGGATTTCAGCCCATCTAGAGGTTGGGTGAGGAGCTTGCAGTTTTCTTTCTTTCCTTTTTTTTTTTTTTTTTTTGAGGCAGTCTTGCTCTGTGGCCCAGGCTGGAGTGCAGTAGCATGATCTCAGCTCACTGCAATCTCTACCTCACAGGTTCAAGCAATTCTCCTGCCTCAGCCTCCTGAGAAGCTAGGATTACAGACCGACAGCATCACACTTAGCTAATTTTTGTACTTTTAGTAGAGACAGGGTTTTGCCATGTTGCCCAGGCTGGTCTTGAACTCCTGGCTGTGAGAGGAGGGTCTTGATCCGCCCAGCAGCTTGTTGTTTTCTGGAGCAGGGCAGGACCTAGAACATGACACCACTTCCCTTTCTCCCCTCCCTACACCTCAGAGTCCCTTCCAGCTGCCTGGAGCCTCCCACCTGCCCAGACTGGCATTACCTAGGGTAGAGAGAACAGGCCAAGGAAACTGTCCCCTTCCCCCAGGACCCCTGTCCCAGGCATTTAAGGCCCTGGGCTGCCTGTGCTGGGAAGGAAGGGAAGTGTTGCTGGGGAGGGGCTGTCTTCTGTGGGACATAGGGGAGGGGGAGTGGCAGGTATTGTGGTGTGTTTTGGTCTTCTGTGTCCAGCTGGTACCTGTGTATCTCACTGCCCATACTTTCCCCCAGCCATGCAGCAAGTCCTGGACAACTTGGGATCCCTCCCCAATGCCACGGGGGCTGCAGAGCTGGACCTGATCTTCCTTCGAGGCATTATGGAAAGTCCCATAGTAAGATCTCTGGCCAAGGTACCGTGCTCCAGGGAGGTGGGCACAAGGTTACTGTGCCTGGGGAGGTGCAGTAGGGGATGGGGTGTTAGCTACAGAGGGCCCTGGGAATGGGGCATGTGGCAAAGAGGCCCCCTGAAGGGGGTTGTGGGAGAAAATCATGCCCAGGTGAGGACCTGAGTGGCTGCCCCCCGCACCTGTCTGGGGAGTACAAGAGCAGATGTTTGGGGACTGCCAGCTTGCAGAGTGTGTGATTGGTGGGGGCCAGAATGCACATGTTGGGGACTCTCTAGGTTCATCTTGCTTGTCCTGCCTTTGAGCATTTTGTGTAGGTGTCTTTCTAAGGTCATTTGCCAGGGACCAGTTTTGTGGAAGACCATTTTTCCACCGATCAGAGTGAGGGGGAGTGGTTTTGGGATGCAGCTGTTCCACTCAGATCATCAGGCATTCGTTAGACTCATAAGGAGCACACCACCTAGATCCCCCAGCATGTTTGGTTCTCAGTAGAGTTCACACTCCTGTGAGAATCTAATGCTGCTGCTGATCTGACAGGAGGTGGAGCTTAGACAGTCATGCTCGCTCACCTCCTGCTGTTCGCCTGGTTCCTGACAGGCCAGGGACCAGTACTGGTTCATGGCCCGGGGGTTGAGAACCCCTGTTCTAATATATGAATAGAACTGTTTGTTTATTGGTTCCCGTCCTGAGAGATGTGTGTTACTGCTGCTTTTGCTCTCTTAAAAACAGTGCTGCAGTGAATATCCTCATATCCATCTGCTCCTGCACCATGTGAGGGTTTTTCTAGAATGGCAACTTGGTAATGAAATTGATGAGTATGTACAGTCTTGAACCTCAACATCTGTAACTTTCCAAAGTTGATTTTAGAGTTGGGTTTAGGAGACCACATCACCTCTGGGTACGTTAGCTGTTGTCTCCACAACGAGACAGTGAGACCGCTTTGGGATGGCAGAGTCTGAGTGAGATGGCCCTCTCGCCAATGCCCTTCAAAGCAGAATCCCCCTTGATAGCACTCCTCTCTGGTCCAGTCCACCTGACAGTCTGCTCTACAGCTCTCTAGTGATGGGTCTGCTGGCTGGCTCTGTCATTCACTCATTCGTTCATCCATCTATCCATCCATCCATCCATCTATTCAACAAATACCTATTTCACACTCACCACGTGCCAGGCACAGTGCTGGGATTATGGCAGCGGACTGCCAAATAGTTTGTTTTCCTGCTGAAGCCCAAGTCTGTCTTCCTTTCACTGGGCCCCACCATGCCCCAGTCCTGGGACCTCAGAGTAAAGACTAATTGAGAATGAATCAATGTGCTGTGTCACATTGTAAGTAAACTCCCTTCTCTAGAAACATTTTTGGTGAGAAGCTGGTCAGGATTTTCCCAAGAAATTCCTGGTATGGTTCCAGATTCATAGAGCACAGTGGAAGAGAGTATGGATATTTCTTCCCTTCTGAGACCCCCAATATGAGGCTAATGGGCTCAGGCAATCCAGTGACTTCTCTCTCCCTCTGGTTGTGAAACAAACAGGAAGTGAATCTCCTAGAAGGAGCCTACCTGAGCTCATTGAAACAAACAAACAAAAAAAACCCATACATTTCTTTCTTGTCCCTGTATGGGTGATTCTTTGCAAGTAAATTTGCCACTCACCAAAGATAGCATCTCAGAGCTTCCTGGGACCTGCTTCCTCCTTCTCACCGATTTTATTGATTATGTGTACACAGACAAATTTCTAACCTAATAGACAAAGTACTTTAATCAAATCCAGCCGCAAAGATTTGGCAAAGTGGCCCCAAAACCAACAGGAATGGAATCAGATTGAAGCCGCATGTAGTAGCTGTTGGCCTCACTCCCTTACCCTTTGGAACTGGGCTTGACTCTCTCTGGGGATTCGGCAGACAGTGTGGGAGGGGCCAGGCTGGGAGGGGCAGGGCCTAAAGGGATAAACCCAGAGGGTTAAAGGCCCTGAGGAAATTCAAGTCTAGCAGAGAGATCATAAATCGAGGCGGTTGGCTGCAGACAGCAGGTGGCGGCTCTGGCAGGTGACTGGCATCTGGGAGGGGTGACATGGGTCCAGCAGCAGGTGTTCCAGCTGCAGGCAAGGCCAAAGTGAGGACTCCAAGTCAGGGACATTCAGAAATTCAGAAAAATTGTTGCTAATGGGGACATCTGCCAGCTGAGAGGCATGTGAAGGCAGCGTGTGAACTAATTCACATGAAATGAAGAAGAAAGAACACAGAGTTTGGAATCAGAAGATTCCACTGACTGGCTTTGTGAGTTTTATGTATCTGTCAACCTCTCTGAGCTTCAGTTGCTTCTTTTTTTTTTTTTTTAAATTAAAAAAATTTTCTTTATATGGTACACTATGGAGGATTTAAAAAAAAATAATATTTATTTATTTTAAAAGAAATATGAGGTCTCACTATGTTGCCCAGGCTGGTCTTGAACTCCTGAGCTCAAGTGATCTTCCTACCTTGGCTTCCCAAAGTGCTAGGATTACAGGTGTGAGCCACCATCCCCAGCCCGGTTATTTCTTTTGAGAAGTGGGGAGAATGATACCTATCCCGCAGAGTCATGGTGGGGCTAGGTGGAGGTTATGGAAGTGGAAGTGCTTTTTGACTCAGAAAGAGTTGTTATAATCTTAGCTTTAGACTGGAGTTCGCAGGGAGGAGTCTCGTTCTCTGGGGAGGCGGGGGTGGAAGAGCTGGGAAAGCAAGACAGGGCCCTAGAAGAATAAAGGTCTAGGAAGGTAACTAAGATAGGGGCTCTGACAAGGGGACATGACAAGCAGAGGGTGTAGTGGTGAGGAGGCCAGTGCATCAGTTAGCTTTTGCTGTGTAACAAACCATCCTGCTGTGTAGTGGGTTAAAACAACTGTGATTTAATTTCCCTGATTTTGTGGGTTGGTTGGGTGGTTCTTCTGGCCTGAGCTTGCTTAGCTGGGGCTGGGTGGTCCAGGATGGCCTCACTCACATACCTGGTGTCTTAACTGGGAAAACTGCAATGTCTGGGATGACTAGGCCCCTTTCAATGTGGTCTTTCCTCCTCAGCTTCCTTCACATGGTGGTCTCACCAGCAAGGAAGGCCAAGACCCCGGTCACAAGCACTTTCTAAGCCTCTGCTCACATTTGCTAATGGCCCATTGTCTAAAGCAAGTCACATCTGTCAAACTCAGATGAAACAGTTCCTTTACTTTCTGGCACACTACTCTCGGGGACATTTTTCAGCTTTTAATTTTACTATTTAATTATGAACCAGGGCTTCAGATGGGAATTCCCTGTCTTTTGTGATGATCAGAGGGGTTGAAGTGGAGGTCGGAGGGAAACCTTCTCAATGAAATGACTGTGTGGTGTTTGTATTTGCAGTCTGCTATGGCTCTGGATTGGGAGCAGACAGCAGAGTGCAGGCTGGCTCCACTGTGAGCCTAGCTGTGTCTTCCATCCAAGCTTCTGGTTTACTGTGAGCTTTAGCCCTGCTTTGCTGAGGATGATTTTCAGAGCAGAATGAAATGAATGGCTACCACAGAAATTAAAATCACTCTTCAAGTTCTGGGCCATGTGTCACTTAATATGAAAAAGGATAAGTCTTAGCAAAATAGTGAATAAAAAAAAATAAGGGAAATAATTGTTCACTTAATATTAACTGAAAAAAATCAGGTTCCAGGGTTGGATAAAATCGTGATTCCCTTTTCTTAATGTCATAGAAAATGCATTTGGACAGACACGATTCCCTTTTTTACAAAGGGAAAAATAACTATTCATTTCAGAAGTATGTGGAATATATACAGACACATTAAAACTCTTTAACAGGGAAGCCAGGCAATGATGAGCACCCTAAATCAAGATGGTGCTTTGTGCAGGCGGGAGGGTAAGTGGGGCATGTGCTCAGATGTTGGATATTGTCAAGAGCTTTGTATTTTAGTTTGGGTGTTGGGTTCTCTGAGATCCTTGTTATATAATTTTAAAAAATCTAATTTAGGCTGGGTGTGGTGGCTCACGCCTGTAATCCCAGCACTTTGGGAGGCCAAGGCAGGTGGACCGCCTGAGCTCAGGAGTTTGTGATCATCCTGGGCAACATGGTGAAACCATCTCTACTAAAATACAAAAAATTGGTTGGGCGTGATGGCGCATGCCTGTAGTCCCAGAGACTTTCGAGGCTGAGACATGAAAATTGCCTGAGCCTGGGAGGCGGCGGTTTCAGTGAGCCGAGATTGTGTCACTGCACTCCAGCTTGGGCTACAGAGTTTCAAAAAAAAAAAAATCTATGTTAATACTAACACAAGCCACGCACAAACCAATGTTGAGAACATGTTATGAACCAAGGATTGTGATTCATCCAATTCTGAAAGTCCGAAAAAGTGTGTGGCAAATTGTGCTACATGCTGAGTGTTCTTGGTGCTGGTCAATCAACTGTTTAGTTCAGCCCACTGAGGTGTTGGTTTTGTATTTAAGTGATTAAATGTTTCGAGTTTTCTCTGGGCTGTGAGGTTGAGCTTGGAGAGCTGTGTTTTCACATCTGTGGGTATAAAATGTCCAGGGTGGCCACAGGAGGAGGAATGGATTAGCCCCTGGTGGGAATATCACTGAGTTAAAGATGGGAGGTAAACAGCTTAGGAGGCACCCTGGCTTCCCCCAATCAAACACGTCTCCTCAGAAAACTTGTCCTCCATCCATGGAGCAGATGGTGCTAAAGTCAAAATGAGGGACCTCTCTAATGCTCACATCAGGACACCTGGGCCAGAGCTGGCTCCTGTTAACCCAAAAGAGCCATGCAAGGGTTGCCATGGTGAGTTTGTTGCTGCCTGAGTGCCTTTGTTTATTCTTGAAACTCAGTTGTTGGGGCTTTGATTCTCAGCATTGTCCGGCACAGGGGTAATAGAGCCAGGACGCCTCCCTCACTCTGGGGCTCCGTGGGCTGGGCCGAGCTAAATGACTGAACATCACACAGGGCTCTGTGGAAGACCAACCCTCTGGGGCTTGTTCCTGTCCCCAGTGCTGTTCCTTTGCCCCATTAGTTATCTGTTTCCCCAGTAGGCTGTGGGTGTCAGTCTAAAATGCTGCCCACCTGGCAGAGGATGCTTTAGGAGGCGATTGGGCCATGTGGGCTGCTGTTCCCTGGCCTGTTTGGGAAAAGAGAAGGCAGAAAGGATCTGACCTTGACTGAGCACCTGCTGAGTGCCAGGCATTGTGTCCATCTCACCAACTCCTCTTAGCAGTCCTATGAGGTGTTATTCAAATCTCACTATCTCATGGCTAAACGAGCTTTCTATTATGAAAAAATTTAAAAATATATTCCGAACCTCCATCACCCAGCACCCCACTTCAGCATTTAACAAGTCTTGTTATCTTGTTTCCTCCATACCTTCACCCCCTTACCTCTCTCCTCTATTGTTTGGAATAGATCTCAGCCATAATAGATTGTATCTGTGTTTGATTATGTCTATCAGCTGAAAAGGATTCTTTAAAAAAAGTTACACTATTATTCTCACACCTCCTAAAAAAAAAAAAACCAATAGTTTTCTTGTGAATTTTTAAAATTAAAAACAATTTTAAAAATGGAGATGGGTTGCTATTAAAAGAAAGTCAGAGGGAGAAAAAAAAAACAAGGAAAAAGAAGAAAAAAATAAAAATGGAGATGGGGTTTTGCTGTCTCAAACTCCTGGGCTCGAGTGATCTTCCTGCCTTGGCCTCCCAAAGTGCTGGGATTACAGTTGTGAGCCATTGTGCCCAGTCGTGAATTTTTAATAGATGATATTGGGATGTCTGGAAAGTCATATTGAAAGATATCAAAGTGGATCCAGACCTCACATAATATATCAGAATAAACTCCAAGTGGATCAGAGATCTCTTTTTGAAAATATAAATCATACATGTCCTAGAGGAAAACAAGGCTCTTTATATGGGAAAAGCAAGCCCCACTGAGAGATCATTTCTCCTCCATGTGATCGGAGACATGCAAATATTTGATCAACACTCTGGTGGTGAGCTTCAAGAAAATCCCTCATACAGTGCTAGCAGGATGGCAAATTGGCTCCAGTCCCAGAGAGGGGAATTTGTCAATATCTAAGAAAATTACGTATGTATTTACTGCTTGACCCAGCAAGACTTCTAGGAATTTACATGGAAGATCTCCACAGATGTAGAATACTATGCCAGAGTCGTTTACTGCAACACTATTTGCAATAGCAAAGTATTAGAAACAACCTAAAAAAAAAACCAAAAACCTAGCTTTCAAAATTCAGATGCACGAAAGATTAATAAATTCACTCACATTAATTTTTTTTTTTTTTTCCGAGCCAGGGTCTTGCTCTGTCATTCAGGCTGGAGTGCAATGGTGCAAATAGTGCTCACTGCAGCCTCAACATCCTGGGTTCAAGTGATCCTTCCACCTCAGCTCCCCAAGTAAGAGTAGCAGGGATCTCAAGTACATGCCACCATGCTCTGGTAATTTAAAGAATATTTTGTGGCAACAGGGGCTTGCCGTGTTGCCCTGGCTGGTCTTAAATTCCTGGGCTCAAATAGTCTTCCCTCCCAAAGTGCTGGGATTACAGGTGTGAGCCACTGCACCTGACCTAAATTTTTTTTGCATGCAAAAACACTGGAAACAGAGTGAAAAGACAAGTGGCAAACTGGGGGAGATGATTTGCAAGAGATATCACAAAGGGCTAATTTTCCCAATAGAAAACATTTTTAAAAATGGGGAAAAGACTAAAAACCAAGACCTGACAGAAAAACTGGGAAAGACATGAGTAGACAGTTCATAGAAAATGATATACACATGGCCCTTAGACATGTGAAGAGATGCTTGACTTCACTCATAGAAAGCAAAATGCAAAGCAAGCCCCACTGAGAGATCATTTCTCCTCCATGTGATCGGAGACATGCAAATATTTGATCAACACTCTGGTGGTGAACTTCAAGAAAATCCCTCATACAGTGCTAGCAGGATGGCAAATTGGCTCCAGTCCCAGAGAGGGGAATTTGTCAATATCTAAGAAAATTACGTATGTATTTACTGCTTGACCCAGCAAGACTTCTAGGAATTTACATGGAAGATCTCCACAGATGTAGAATACTATGCCAGAGTCGTTTACTGCAACACTATTTGCAATAGCAAAGTATTAGAAACAACCTAAATACCCATGGAGACTGGTTGAATAAATTACAGGAATCCAGTCATGCAGTGGAGTCAAATGAAGCATTTAAGATAATAGGACCGGCGCGGTGGCTCATGCTTGTAATCCCAACCTGGGAGGTAGAGGTTGCAGTGAGCGGAGATCGTGCCACTGCACTCCATCCTTGGTGACAGAGCAAGACTCTGTCTCAAACAAACAAACAATAATAATAATAGAGGAAGATCTCCATGCAGTTTCATGGGCTGATTTCCATGGCATATTTTTCAGTAAAAAGCCAGAAAACGAACCAGTTAAACAAAAGCTCCAGGGTATCAAAGAATGTGTACAATTTTATGTAAGAAAGAAAGGGCAATTTATTTTATTTTATTTTTTTGAGACAGAGTCTCGGTCTGTTGCCCAGGCTGGAGTGGAGTGGTACGATCTCAGTTCCCTGCAACCTCTGCCTCCTGGGTCAAAGCAATTCTCATGCCTCAGCCTCCCGAGTAGCTGGGATTACAGGCGTGCACCACCACACCCAGCTAATTTTGTATTTTTAATAGAGATGGAGTTTCACCATGTTGGTCAGGCTGGTCTCAAACTCCTGACCTCAGGTGATCCACCCACCTCGGCCTCCCAAAGTGTTGGGATTACAGGTGTGAGCCACCGCCTGACCTTTAGCAGTGATTTCTGAGATTTTGATGCACCCATCACCCGAGTAGTGTACACTATGCCCACTGTGTAGTCCTTCATCTCTTACACCCCTAAGACCTTTCCCTCCTGACTTTTACTTAATAGATTTGTGATAGGTGTAGTGGTTGTACAGCAATTCTGAAACTGCTTTGAATATTGAAGCGCAGAACAAGTAAGTAAATATATTGGTGTTATTGGGAACTAAGTTCACACTGAAGGAGAAGGAAGACACAAATATGGAATGGGGGAAGGTGAGAAAAATCCTGTAGAGTTTGATTTTATTTGGAGCCATCAGTATCTACTAATGTTACCAAAGAAATGACGCCCCAGAAACAGTGGGTACTGAGTGCCCACATCTTGCTTTCTAAATACTGTTCCCTGCCAAAAGGAGTCAGGGTTCCTTTGAGAAATTGCTGATTCCAGACCTGGAGTAGGGAAAGTATCAGATGATCCTGTGTGGGAAGGGAAGAAGATGGGAATATGTGAACAGGACAGAGGTGTGAAAGAGGCCCCCACTGGACACATTTGGGATAAACTGGGTCAATGAAGATAGTGATAGTAATGGATTCAAATACACGGAATAAAAGTTCATAGTGATATGAGAGAAGAGAAAGAGGAGTGTGGTGGGAGGGAGAAAAGAAAAGCTCATTCTTTTTTGTTTTAGGACAGAGTTTCACTCTTGTTGCCCAAGCTGGAGTGCAATGGCACGATCTCGGCTCAGTGCAACCTCTGCCTCCCAGGTTCAAGCGATTCTTCTGCCTCAGCCTCCGGAGTAGCTGGGATTATAGGTGCTTACCACCACACCCAGCTAATGTTTTATATTTTTAGTAGAGACGGGGTTTCGCCATGTTATCCAGGCTGTTTCTTAAACTCCTGACCTCAGGCGATCCACCCATCTTGGCCTCCCTAAGTGCAGGGATTATGGGTATGAGCTTCCACGCCTGGCTGAAAAGCTCATTCTTATAGTAGAATGTCAATAAATGTAGAGGGAATGATGGGAGTTATGTAGTAACTATTTTGCAACCTCCAGTATAATAATTCATTTAGGCAGGGTCATAAATTGATGCTAAATCCACTGGTGAAGGACTTTGGAGGAACATAATGGTCACATAGTCTCAAAATATGGGAAAGACAAAGATGCAAGATCACCTACATAGAACTCTTGTCAAAAGGACTCACTCAAGTCTAATAATGAGGAAACAATCACATAAATCTAGTGGTAGAGCATTCTAAAAACTACTGGCCTGAAGTCTAAAAATGTCTAGGTCAGGTGCAGTGGCTCACGCCTGTAATCCCAGGCTTTGGGAGCCTGAGGTGAGAGGATCGCTTGAAGCCAAGAGTTTGAGACCAGCCTAGGCGATGTAGTGAGACCCTGTCTCTGTAAAATAAAAACAGAAACAAAAGACAACAAATGTCCTGAAAGTCTAAAAGTTATTGGGATCTGTGCTAGATTAGAGGAGAATAAAGAGATGTGCCGACCAAATACAACATATAATCAATTAGATCCTGAAAAAATAGAATGATAAAGGATACTTTTGGGACAAGAGTGAACATTTGAATATGGACTGTCTTACATAATGTGTTAACGTATCAATGTTAAATTTCTTGCAGGTGATAATGGTATTGTGGTCTATACAGCAGAACGGCTTTGTTCCTATGAAATACATGCTGAAATGCTTTGGGAAAAAGTGACTTGTGTTGTCTGCAGTGATCTTTCAAAGATTCAGAGGGGAAAAAAGGTCTTCATCTATATTCTTGAAATGGAATTCCTGGAGGGCTGGGTGCAGTGGCTCATTCCTGTAATCCCAGCACTTTGGGAGGCCATGGCAGGTAGATCATCTGAGATTGGGAGTTTGAGACACCCTGACCAACATGGAAAAACCTTGTCTCTACTAAAAATACAAAATTAGCTGGGCATGGTGGCACATGCCTGTAGTCCCAGGTACTCGGGAGGCTGAGGCAGGAGAATCGCTTGAACCCAGGAAGCGGAGGTTGCAGTGAGCTTAGATCATGCCATTGCACTCCAGCCTGGGCAAGAGTGAAAAGCCATCTCAAAAAAAAAAAAAAAGAAATCTAATTCCTTTCTTCTTGACCCACTTAACCTAATACTCCCCACTGGGCTGGAACCTGGAGACAGCACAGCGACAGATAGGTACAGGGCCTGCTCCTGGTACCATGTGCTGATTTCTTGTCCCCTCATTCACTGGGACCACTGAGTTGAGGGCCTGGAGATGCAAGTTCAAGTCCCAGTGACCCTGGGAATGTTATTCCACCTTCCTAACTTACTCATCCTGGGCTTCAGGGTCTTCAAGTCCCCACCCAATCATGATGTCTGATGGAAGACGCTGCCCTTGAACTCCAACGCACATAAGGTCCTGGGAGCTGGGGACAATTTGGTAACTTTTAATGACCCTTTGTGGCAAGGGGATGGAAAGGAAGGTTTGTCCTTTGGTTTCTTCCTTCCCTAAACTAGGTCCTAGTCATTTTGGGGAAGAAAGGAGACAGCAAGGAATGCATACACATGTGTGGGTATGATTGTGCGTGAGTGAGTGAGGAGCTGAGGCAGGGGGCTGGGGGTGGGGTGAGGAAAATGCCTGGGGCTGAGGGAGGACCCTGTTTGGTGTCCCAGGGCTCCTGGGGAAGCTCCTAGCCCCACCTGTTCTGCTTCCACCTCCAGGCCCATGAGAGACTGGAGGAAACGAAGCTGGAGGCTGTGAGAGACAACAACCTGGAGCTGGTGCAGGAGATCCTGCGAGACCTGGCACAGCTGGCTGAGCAGAGCAGCACAGCTGCAGAGCTGGCCCGCATCCTCCAGGAGCCCCATTTCCAGGTTCCTGGCTGCTGGGGCTGGGGTGAGGGAGCAGGAGGTGGGTGGACTGGGGTCTGCTGCTGTTGGAGGAGCTGGCAGGAAGTTGGAGCTGGGATGGGAAGAGACCTCCGGGCAATGCCCCATTGGCCCTTCTCTTCCCACCACCCCCCAGTCCCTCCTGGAGACGCATGACTCTGTGGCCTCAAAGACCTATGAGACACCACCCCCCAGCCCTGGCCTGGACCCGACATTCAGCAACCAGCCAGTACCTCCTGATGCTGTGCGCATGGTGGGCATCCGCAAGACAGCCGGAGAACATCTGGTGAGGACACTGGGCAGGGCTGGTGAGAGTCAAAACTGAGAATAACCAGTGGGGGGCCAAGAAAGTCAAACAAGGGCTGAAGATAAAGATGGGGCCAGCTTTGTGTAGGAAAGGACCCACGCAGATTCGGGAGACCATAGACACTGCATACTTATGTGTCCACGCCTCTCCAGTCTGCCCGCTCCCCCCCCCCCATTAGTGCTTGATATAATTGAAGTATTTAGGCAGAAGGACGGAAGAGGACTTTGTGAGGGCGGAGGTTAGTGGATGGGGACAGGAATGGAGGAGCTATTAGGAGACTATTTGAAGATTTTGACTTGGAACAATTGGAGCCTCATCTTTCACTCCTCTGACCTACAGGGTGTAACGTTCCGAGTGGAGGGCGGCGAGCTGGTGATTGCTCGCATTCTGCACGGGGGCATGGTGGCTCAGCAAGGCCTGCTGCACGTGGGTGACATCATCAAGGAGGTGAACGGGCAGCTGGTGGGCAGTGACCCCCGAGCGCTGCAGGAGCTCCTGCGCAATGCCAGTGGCAGTGTCATCCTCAAGATCCTGCCCAGCTACCAGGAGCCCCATCTGCCCCGCCAGGTGGGACCTTCCACCAGCCCCCCCACCCCCAGCACAAGGCCCAAGGGATGGCTGAGCCTCCTGCCTGTCAGGGTTGAAGGTCTCACTGAGGACCTCCTCTCCTACTGGTTTCCTCCAGGGGAGTTGGGGGCGGGACCTGCAGCCAGGGGGCAGCTGACCGCAGCCATGGACAGGCCTCTGCCTCTGCTGCATCTGCACGTGCTTCCACATTGGTTAGCATTATGCACACAGCCACAGCCTGGGGTACCAGAGTGTATGAGAGAGCACCTGTGTCATGGTCAGCGTTCTTCACATGTTTGTGCGCATGTGCAGGGTGGGGTTGTCGTATGTCCTGGACAGCTATCTCCTGGTTGGTGGATTCTGGGGGGCTGGCTGCTTTGTCTACTTCTCCTATTGGCTTTCTCACCCTTCCCCAGAACCCTTCTCCAAGGGGAGAGGGTGAGTGGAGGGAGGGATCTACGATTAGGTGCCAGAGTCCTGTTCCCTACTTGCTGTTCCCACATCCTTGATCCTGAGATCTGAATCCTGTAGTACTAGATGCAAAGGGAGGCTGGCACCAGGGAGGCATGTGGGGCAGGCCTGGAGGCATCACTCCTGCAGGTGTGGCTCCATTGCCCCTTGCAACTTTGTGAAGGGAGGGGACATGGGGTAGACCTCCATCTGCAGCCTTCCACTGACCCTTCCCCTGACTTTTTGCCGATTCCTGGGCCCAGGTATTTGTGAAATGCCACTTTGACTATGACCCGGCCCGAGACAGCCTCATCCCCTGCAAGGAAGCAGGCCTGTGCTTCAATGCTGGGGACTTGCTCCAGATCGTAAACCAGGATGATGCCAACTGGTGGCAGGTGAGCCGCGGGCACCCCTGCATCTCTCCAGGTGTGGTGCATGGGAGGGCGAGGCGCAGGGAGGGGTCCTCTTGCTCAGGCCAGTCTTGGTCTCATGTCCGTTTCAGGCGTGTCATGTGGAAGGGGGCAGTGCCGGCCTCATCCCCAGCCAGCTGCTGGAGGAGAAGCGGAAAGCATTTGTCAAGAGGGACCTGGAGCTGACACCAAACTCAGGTAGGAGGACCCCCCCACCCCACATCCCCAATCTGGGATCCGACAGGGCCCTGTCTGCCTGGAGCTGATACCAAACTCAGGTAGGAGGACCCCCCCCACCCCACATCCCCAATCTGGGATCCGACAGGGCCCTGCCCACCTCACTCACCCATCTCCCTATGGCCAGGGACCCTATGTGGCAGCCTTTCAGGAAAGAAAAAGAAGCGAATGATGTATTTGACCACCAAGAATGCAGGTGGGTATCAGAGCATTCCCTCCCTTGTCTTCCTCTAACATGGCATGGCCCTCCCTGTCCCCACCCTTCACCTGTGACGATGCTCACCCTTCACCTGGCTCAGATGCTGCCAGCCGTGTCCCTAGGCCCTGCCCGGCTCCTCCCTGCTACCCTGTTCCAAGCCTTCTTGCCCTCACTCTCCCTGAGAACTCCGCCCCTCCCTCACCATGCAGCCTGGTGAGCAGTGCCATCTCCCTGTGTCCAGAGTTTGACCGCCATGAGCTGCTCATTTATGAGGAGGTGGCCCGCATGCCCCCCTTCCGCCGGAAAACCCTGGTGCTGATTGGGGCTCAGGGCGTGGGACGGCGCAGCCTGAAGAACAAGCTCATCATGTGGGATCCAGATCGCTATGGCACCACGGTGCCCTGTGAGTGGGGGCTGGGACTCCCCTGGGGGCCAGGGCTGGGTCCACCGAATGGGCATCTTCATGGGTGCCAGCCCAGGTGGTACCTTTGGGTGCACAGGTTGGGGTGCACTCCCTCTGTGGGTAGGGAGAGGAACTGCAGGCTCAGGAAAGGTGAGGGAGGTGTCCTGTCAACAGGTGGCCTAGTGGGCTGGGTTGGTGTCCCCTTTCCTTCTCTGTTTCACTTGCTGAAAGCCATGAAGAAAGTGAGTGCCCAGCTGTGCACCCGGGTGAAACACGGCTATGAGCTGCACGTGTGTAGCCTTGTGGAGGACAGGGTTTCTTAGCGCAGAGCCAGCGTGGGTGGTGGAAGCTCTTGGCTGCCAGAGGCAGGACTGAGAGCTCTGCCTTGGTCTGCTTGGCTCTTGCTGTGTGGCTTTGGGCTATACATTGCCCTTTCTAAACCTCAGCCTCTCACCTGTGGGCTCTGGGTTGGACCATGGATACCACCTCATGTCTCTGTGAGTGCCAGTGGAGAGGGTGGGGGCAGGAGTGTGCAAAGGCAACAGTGCTGGCAAGATGGAGAGTGGACTGCACCCCCAAGGCTGGGAACCAGGAGCCCGGGTAAGGGTGTGTGTATGTGCCTGAGGCGCTGTGACCTGCCTGTGCCCATTCAGCCTCACCTACCTCCATCCCCCAGACACCTCCCGGCGGCCCAAAGACTCAGAGCGGGAAGGTCAGGGTTACAGCTTTGTGTCCCGTGGGGAGATGGAGGCTGACATCCGTGCTGGGCGCTACCTGGAACATGGCGAATACGAGGGCAACCTGTATGGCACACGTATTGACTCCATTCGGGGCGTGGTTGCTGCCGGGAAAGTGTGTGTGCTGGATGTCAACCCCCAGGTACGGCCACTCTGCTCCTTCCCAGCCTACCCAATGTCCTCTCTGTTGCCTCAGTGCTCCCCCATATAGTTCCACACACCTGTCACCTGAGCACACCCATGCACCCCGTCTGCTCTCAACCACTGCTAGGAACCCAGCCCACCTGGAACCTTCCTCAGCCTCCCAGACCCCCCACTCCTTCTCTAGTCTCCTCCAGTCGCCCTAGCCACCTGCCAGCTGTCTGTCATTCATCCCGGTACTCATGTTCCAGACTCCCAGGCACCCCTTTCTCATCCACTCCTAGGTGCCCACCCAACCTCTGTCACCCTGACAGCCTTCCTCTGATTCCTAGGACAGACATTGGGATATGCTCCCTACCTTGCCTTCTCCTTCTGCAGGCGGTGAAGGTGCTACGAACAGCCGAGTTCGTCCCTTACGTGGTGTTCATCGAGGCCCCAGACTTCGAGACCCTGCGGGCCATGAACAGGGCTGCACTAGAGAGTGGGGTGTCTACCAAGCAGCTCACGGTGAGGGCTCTGAGGGGTGGGGGAGGGGTCCGATGGCTGCCTAGGGTGGTGGGGGACAGGCCTGAGCTGACGGAGAGAAGGAGGTGGTGTTGGGGAGGGACAGGGGCCTGCTCCAATTATCAGTGAGGCAGGACGTGGTCCCCCCTGCATAGATGTGGAAGGGGAGGTCTAAGAGAGGAAGTCCAAAGTCTCAGAGTGAACCAGGGACACAGCTAGCCTGGGACACATGTGCTTCTGACTCCAGCCCACTGCTCTGCCTGCTCTGCAGGGGCAGAGTGCTGGCCAGAGGGAGTTCAGAGGGCCAGTGGAAGAGGTGGGCGGGAGGTGGGCCAGGGGAGCTTGGATTGCTTACAGCTGGGGGAAAGTGGAAGGGCAGGAGAAAGCCAGAGGCGGGAAGGCTGGCTGGAGGGGTGAGTCAGCATCAGGGAGCAGGCAGCGCCTGGAGGAGAGGCCTCAAGCCCGCATTGCAGGACTCCAGCCTCCTTCCTCCCTAGGTCTTGCTGTGCCTCCCCAGGAGGTGGAGGGTTTGCAGAGCTCTGAGCTCAGGGGTCCCTCTGCTGGCCATGCCTGGTGCTGCAGCACTCAGGCCCCAGGTCAGAGTGTGGCTGGGGCCCAGGAGAGGCTCTCTAGGCTGGCATCCTTCTGCCGATGGACCCTTGCTTGATCCCTACTCTGGGCACCTCCTCCTTGGCAACAGGACAGGTGTGGCAAACTGGAGCTGCTGGGATGCGGCTGGCTTCAGCTTATTTAAGTCAGTTATCAAGTACCCTTCCCCACCCCTGCCCAGCCAGCTTCCACAGGGTTGAGGGTAGGGATTGCCCTGGTACCAGCCTGTCATGCTGCATAGGTGAGGCAGCCTGGTCAGGAGGGAGCACTGGCTTGGGAGTCAGGCAGACCCTGTTCAGCTGCTGACGGGCTGTGTGACCTTTTTGTACCTTAATTTTCTGTTATAAATGGGGAAGAATTAATCCTACTTTGCAGAGCTGCCGTGAAGATTATGTGGGTTGCAAAGCATTTAGGGGTGTGATTGGCACTTATTAAAGCTTATCCTTTCACCCACCATCTGTTTGTGGTTGATGGTGAGCCACTTTGAGGCACACAGAGAGGGGCCCCTGCCTCCCTAGCCAGGGAGTCCACTCCAGGGTTGGGCTTTGGGGAGGGGGAGTGGGGGCAGCTGTAGCTCCTTTTGACAGTGGGGTGAGTTGTGGGCACTGACTGTAGGGAGGTCCCCTTGTGCCTGGGCAGGAGGCGGACCTGAGGCGGACAGTGGAGGAGAGCAGCCGCATCCAGAGGGGCTACGGGCACTACTTTGACCTTTGCCTGGTCAATAGCAACCTGGAGAGGACCTTCCGTGAGCTCCAGGCGGCCATGGAGAAGCTACGGACAGAGCCCCAGTGGGTGCCTGTCAGCTGGGTGTACTGAGCCTGTTCACCTGGTCCTCTGCCCCCTCTGGGTTCAGACCCAGAACCTGAATTCATCCCCTTCCTGACCTGTGAGCCCTGCCACAATCCTTAACCCCCATATCTGATTCTCCTTGGGTAACAGCTCCCAGCAGGCCCTAAGTGTGGCTTCAGCACAGAGGTGTGCACTGCCAGGGAGGTGGGCATTCATGGGGTATCCTGTGCCCAGGTGCTGCCCACTCCCAATGCTCATTAGCCACCAGATAGCTCTCTCTGAGGGCCAAGCCGTTTGCAGGAATGTGTCAGAGTCATCTCCATAATGGTTAGTACAGAGGAGATAAAAGCTGCTTTGGGACCACACAGTTAGTAGGTACACTGTCCCCGCCACCTCTCCCCAGTCACCAGTTCTCCTCTGGACTGGCACCCACCCCATTCCTGGACTCCTCCCACCTCTCACCCTTGTGTCACAGGAGCAGGCCTTGGGCTGCTTCCATGTGGCCAGGGGAATGTGTGGTCCACTGGCAGCCAGGCAGGCCAAGGTGGTGGTGCCAGTGGCTAGAGGAGTCAGAGTGAGAGCCAGTGGCCACAGCTACAGAGCAGTGCAGCTCCCAGATCCCTCGGAAAGGGGCAGGGTGGTGGGGTGGACACTGCTTGGTCCCTCCCTTATCCACAGCTTCTCACTGCCGACAATTCTCCAGACCTCTCTGATATATCCTGACAGATCAGCCCTGCTCTCCACAGGGCCAGGCTGGCAGGGCCAGTGGGCTCAGCCCAGGTAGGAGTGGGATGGAAGGCTGAGCCCTGTGACAAGGAACCTGCTGCTACCGACCGAAGAGCCCCAAGCTCTCCATGGCTCACAGCAGGCACAGGTCTGGGCTCTGTGTCCTTGACCTTGGTCCATTTTGGTTTTCTCTCTAGCCAAGTCCAGGTAGCCCACTTGCGTCAGGGCTGCAGGGTTGGAGGGGCTGAGGAGTGCAGAGGGGACCTTGGGAGCCTGGGCTTTTGAAGGACAGTTGCCCTCCAGCGGGTTCCTCATACACGACTCCAGGGGGCGCCATTCACACTGTAGTCTGCACAGCCTGTGGCTCTGCGTATATGCTTGGCGCCTGTCTGTGCCTCTGGCACTGGTGTGTTTGTGTCTATGTCTGTCTGTCTGTCAGGTTTAGTTTGGGGAGGAAGAAAAGAGTTGTTTTGTTTTGGAGGTCACTCTTTGGGGCCCCTTTCTGGGGGGGTTCCCTATGAGCCCTCATTTCTTATAAGACCCTGATCCCAGACTCTGAAGCCCTGGTCCTCTCCTGACATCTCCTCCACTGTCCTATTGTCCCTGTGCCCTAAATGCCTCCCTGCTGTCCTTGTGGAAGGCAGTTTTGTAAAATAGGAGACTCCCTTTTAAGTAAGAATGCTGTCCTAGACGTACCTGAGCATCTCATCCTTCATTGTTCTCTGCAGTCCTTCCCAGGGTGAGCCTGTCCTCAGAGGGGACAACGTGGGACACCCCAAGTCCAAACCCCTGTGCCTCCCAGTTCCTCTGAGTGTCTAATTAGTCTTCGCTGCAGCGTCAGCCAAAGCTGGCCCCTGAACCACTGTGTGCCCATTTCCTAGGGAAGGGGAGGGAGAATAAACAGAATACTTATTACAAATGTTAGAATATATTTCTTATATTAGGAATCTCATTTGCATTTGCATAGGGTATACGCATGGGTGGAAAGGCCAGGCCTGCCCCCATCTCACTGGTGTGGCTCCACATGTGCTACGCACTCATCCTCCTGCTCCTCTTCTCCGTTAGTGTCCTTTCATCCTGATTCAGCTCTCCCTGGCATCACCCTCAGCCTAAGGGAGTGGGAAGGAAATGGGGTGTTTTCCTGCTGACCTGAGGCCGTGGGGTCACTTGACACTTTCTACCTCCCCTGGGGAACTTGAGGATAAGGGCAGGGGAGGGTCTGCTGTTGCAGCTGCTTCTGTCCCTATGGTCCAAATGACCATCATCTTTGATGGGGATGGGGTGGGTACCTTGCCCTCATGGCACCTTCACTGCTAATGATGCCCAAGGGACAGGCTGGGGCCCCTTCCCTCCTGTCTCTTCTCAGTTCTTCCTCTCTGAACAGCCTCCCCTGCCTGAGCTCCACTCCATACCCCTCCCAGGCACCTATCGGGTGGGAGCAGAAGCTGTCAGTCCTTGGCTCACCTGGGCCAGGGCCAGAGCTAGGTTGGAACAAGTGTGTGTGCCCACCACATCAGCTCTGTGACTCTGTTCTCCTTTGCCCCTCATTGTGGACTCTTGTATTTGAGGGACGTCTGGAGACTGAGGACCCTACCATCCACTGTCCACATTCAGTCCCAATGCCCTTCCTCTGTCCCCTCCCTCAGCCATCTAATTCTTGAGTTTTCTTACTGACTGGTTTTCTTTCTTTTCCTTGGATTAAATGTGAAAGCAAAGGCTTCTGGCTCTGCCTGTCTTTGGTTGGGGTTGGGTGGATGGCTTTGGGAGAGGGTGAGAGCTGGGGAGCAAAGCACAGATGACTCTAAGATGGAAGTCAGAGCAACACGTCTTGTTTTCTGTGATGTCTTCCTTTTCTCTGTCTTTCTCCTCCACACTCCCCCATCCCGAGAAGATGCTCATTCTAAGTGCTTGGACCCAAGGATGTGAACAGACATTTCTCAAAAGACATACAAGTGGACAATGTATGAAAACTTGCTCAACATCACTAATCATCAGAGAAATGCAAATAAAAACCACCCTGAGTTACCATCTCACACCAGTCAGAATGGCTGTTACTAAAAAAGTCAAAAATAACAGATGCTGCAGTGCAGTTGCGGGTGAGAGGGAGTGCTTATGCACTATTGGTGGGAATGTAAATTAGTTTGGCCCCTGTGGAAAGCAGTTTGGAGATTTCTCATATAACTACCATTCGTTCCAGCAATCCCATCACTGGGCATCTACCCAAAGGAGAAGGAATCATTCCACTGAAAAGATACCTGCACTTGTATGCTTACTGCAGCACCATTCACCATAGCAACACATGGAATCAACCTAGGTGCCCATCAGTGTGGAATGGATAAAGAAAATGCGGTGCATATACACCATGGGATACTATGCAGCCATGAAAATAATGAAATCGGCTGGCTCGCTCCTGTAATCCCAGCATTTTGTGAGGCCAGGGAGGGCAGATAACCTGAGGTCAGGAGTTCAAGACCAGATTGGCCAACATAGTGAAACCCTGTCTCTACCAAAAATACAAAAATGAGCCGGCATGGTGGTGCATGCCTGTAGTCCCAGCTACTCAGGAGGTTGAGGCAGGAGAATTGCTTGAATAGCAACCCGGAAGGTGGAGGTTGCAGTGAGCCAAGATCATACCACTACACTCCAGTCTGGGTGACAGAGCAATACTAAAAAAAAAAAAAAAAGTGTTCTTTGCAGTAACATGAATACAGCTGGAGGCCACTATCCTAAGCAAATTAACATAGAAATGGAAAATCAAACAGCATATGTTCTCATAAGTGGGAGCTAAACATTGGGTACACATGGGCATAAAGATGGCAGCAGACGCTGGGGACAGTGAGAGGAAGGAGGGGCACAATGGTTGAAAAATGACATTGGTTGGGTGGGCTGGCTCACGCCTGTAATCCTAGCACTTTGGGAGGCCAAGGCAGGCAGATCACCTGAGGTTGAGAGATTGAGACAAGCCTGGCCAACATGGTGAAACCCCACCTCTACTAAAAATACAAAATTAGCTGGGTGTGGTGGCTAATTTTTTTTATTTTTATTTTTTGTAGAGATGGGGTGTTGTTTTGCTTTCCAGGCTGGTTTCGAACTCCTGAGCTCAGTTATCTCCCAAAGCACTGGGATTACAGGCATCAGCCATCATGTCTGGCCCATGGTTTCTTTTAATTTGGTCTTGAGGTCTCTCTTGACAGTGGCTATAAGCTGAGATAGCAATTTTCTTTCTTTTCTATTTTTCTGAGACTGAGTCTCATTCTGTCACCCAGGCTAGAGTGCATTGGCATGATCTCGGCTCACTGCAGCCTCCACCTCTTGGATTTAAGTGATTATCTGGCCTCAGCCTCCTGAGTAGCTGGGACTACAGTCATGCACCACCATGTCTGGCTAATTTTGTATTTTTGATAGAGACAGGGTTTCACCAGATTAGCCAGGCTAGTCTCGAACTCCTGGCCTCAAGTGATCCACCAGACTCAGACTCCCAAAGTGCTGGGATTACAGATGTGAGCCACCATGCCCAGCCTGAGATAGCAATTTTCTAAGAGAACCCTAGTCAGGGGAAAGTTAAGGTACAGTGTGTCAGTCAGGTGAGATACAATGAGAAAGTGAAACCCAAATGTATGAAACAGAAGAAATTTATTACTTACAGGTCCCAGAGACATTAGGGGCATCTACTGGTTGCCCATGAAAAGTCTGGAGGTGGCAAGGAGCTCAACCACTGAGTGGGAGCAGGAGAGAGAGGGTGATGGGTCTTGGGCCAAAGCCTTTATTGGGGCCCAGGGGTTTACCCAAGCAAGTTTGCCATAGGCAGTTCTAATTGATGGGTTTAGAGCAAGCAGGCACAAGTTCCGTGGAGTCATGCTGTGACTGAGAGGTAGTCACTGTGGCATATTTGCACAGTCCATGTGGGGTGTGGGGGTGAGTATGGCAAGTCAGGAAGGTTGTATCTAGCTGTCTCATAGAGAGGTGGTCACCAGGAAGCAGCTGTGTGGCACAGGAACTGGGATCAACCACATTGAGGAACTATAAGAGGGCAGAGAACTGGAAACGGTGTCAAGGGTGACCAAGCCCTGCTTCTGGTATGACAAAGTCCAGCTTATATGTAAAATGGATGCCAAGGCAATATAAAAGTATAAGAATTCATTACACCAAAATAGGGTGTTCACCAAAACCTGATCATGCCGGCACCCGGAACTTGGACTTCCAGCCTACAGAACTATGAGAAATAGATTTATGTTGTTGAGAAGCCACCAAGACTATGACACTTTGTTACAGCAGCCCAAACTAAGATAAAGACCTAAATCAATGGAGTTATACTGTATTCCTGGGTTGGAATCAATGCTGTTCAGATGTCAGTTCTCCCCAAACTGATCTATGCAATCAATGTAATCCCAATCAAAATTCTAGCAAGTTTTTTTTGGGGTATAAATTGATAAGCTGATGCTAAAATCTATGTGGAAATACTAGAAATCTAAAAGAGCAAAAACAACTTTGATAAAGAACAAAGTTGGAGGATTTATACTACTTGAATTTGAGACATATTATAAAGCTACAGTAATTAAGACAGTGTGGTATTGGTATAAAGAAAGATAAATAGGTCAATAGAACAGAAAAGGCCAGAAATAGACCCACACAAATACGTTCAACTGATTTCAAAGTAGTGCAATGTCAATTCAGAAGAGGAAGCACAAAGGGACAGCCTTTTCAACAGATGGTGCTGGAATAGTTGGATATCCATACACAAAAGGAAGAAGATGAAGGAAGAAAGGCAGAGAAGAGGGAGGAGGAGAAAAGAAGAAGAAAAAAGAGGAAGAAGGGAAGAAGAAGTTGTTCAACTCATACACATATATGAAAAGTAACTCAAGTTCAGCCATAAATCTAAATGTAAAGCCTAAAAGTGTAACACTTCTAGAAGAAAACAGGAGAAAACCTTTGTGACCCTGGGTTAGACAAAGATTTTTAAGATACAACACCAAAAAGCATGACCCATAAAAGAAAAAATTGACACACTGAACTTCATTAGAATATCAAACTTCTGGGCCAGGCGCGGGGGCTCATGCCTGTAATCCAAGCACTTTGGAGGCCAAGGCGGGTGGATCACCTGAGGTTGGGAGTTCAAGACCAGCCTGACATGGTGAAAACCCATCTTTAAAAAAAAAAAAAAAAAAGGAGAGAGATCCAAGATGGCCACTTAGCAGCTCAGATTGTAGCTCCCAGTGAAAGTGCAGAGAGTGAGTGGACACCACACTTCAAGACGAATTTTTGTTGCCCAAGGACCAGGAGATTCCTAGCGGAGGAGCCCCCTGGGTCACCAGCACAACTCTTTTGGCCGATGCGGCTTTTTGCTGGCGCCCCAGCGTGGCGGTTCTCAGTATGGATAATACAGAACTGGGTGCTCTTTTAGTTGGCTTTTGGAGCTCCGGGAAGGCAGAGTCGCCCATTCAGTTGATTGAAGGGGGGACTGCAGCGGGGAGCCACACCATGAGATTCCTGGGCAGAAAAGTGCCATGAATCTTAATGCCGCTGTTTCTGCCAGCACAGTGCCCCCACAAAAAAATAGCAATTGGAAGCACTGAAGAAGATTGAGAGTTTTACAGCAAGCACAGCTGAACCTGGGAAGGTCCAGCTCTGTGGGGGAGGGGCATCCTCCAAAGGAAAACTAAGAAACAGAAAAAACTTCATCACCAACAAGCTGGACATCCACTCAGAGACCCAATCTGAAAGTCAGCAATTATAAAGATGACGGCTGGGTAAATCCACAAAAATGGGAAGAAGCCAGCGTAAAAAGGCTGAAAATACCCAAAATCAGAGTGTCTCTCCTCCTACAGGGGATTGCGGCTCATCAGCAACGGAACAAGGCCTGATGGAGAATGAGTGTGATGAATTGACAGAATCAGGCTTCAGAAGGTGGATAATAAGAAACTTCTGTGAGCTAAAAGAACATGTTCTAACCCAATGCAAAGAAACTAAGAACCTTGAAAAAAGGTTTGACGAAATGCTAACGAGAATAGACAATTTAGAGAGGAATATAAGTGAATTAATAGAGCTGAAAAACACAATACAAGACCTTCATGAACTATGCACAAGTTTTAACAGTCAAATTGATCAAGCAGAAGAAAGGATATCAGAGGTCGAAGACCAACTTAATGAAATAAAACGAGAAGACAAGGTTAGAGAAAAAAGGCTAAAAAGGAATAAGCAAAGTCTCCAAGAAATATGGGACTATGTGAAAAGACCTAATCTATGTTTGATAGGTGTACCTGAATGTGACAAATAGAATGAATCCAAGCTGGAAAAGATTCTTCAGTATATTATCCAGCAAAACTTTCCCAACCTAGCATGACAGGACAATACTCAATTCCAGGTAGTGCAGGGAACACCACAAAGGTATTTCTCAGGAAGAGCAACCCCAAGGCACATAATCATTAGATTCACCAGGGTTGAAATGAAGGAGAAAATACTAAGGGCAGCCAGAGAAAAAGGTCAGGTTACCCATAAAGGGAAGCCTATCAGACTCACAGCAGAAACCCTACAAGCCAGAAGAGAGTGGGGGCCAATATTCAACATCCTTAAAGAAAAGAACTTCAACCCAGAATTTCATATCCAGTCAAACTAAACTTAAAGTGAAGGAAAAATACATTTTTTTGCAAACAAGCAAGTACTCAGAGATTTCATTACCACCAGGCCTGCTTTACAAGAGCTTCTGAAGGAAGTATTAC